GGTGGGCTGGGGCAGGTGGCTCCGCCGCATGCTGCCCTCGCCTGTGGGTACCACCCCCAAAGCTCCCATTGGCCGCGGTTCCCTTTCCCAGCCAATGGGAGCTGGGGGGGGGGGGGTGCCTGCAGGCGAGGGTAGTGCACAGAGTCCTCTGTCCCCCTTCCCCAGGGACCGCAGGGACATGGTGCCAGCTGCTTCCAGGAGCCGTGTGGGGCCAGGGCAGGCAGGGAGCCTGCCTTAGCCCTGCTGTGTCATGGGGCTGGCAATGCCACGGGCCAGCTTGAAAGCCCTGACAGGCTAGATCCAGCCCACATGCTGTAGTTTGCCTTCCCCTGGTCTATTGTATTTGATTCTGGCACTGAGTCCTTCTCGTAGCATGGGTTTGACCCATCTGATGTATTCTATGGGTTTCTGAGAATGTCTGAGGAAATTAAAGTTGCTTTCCTATGGAGTGCTTGCAGACTTCTGTAAATTTAGCCCTTTTTCTCTGCAGGAGAAATAAAGGGGTGGAGCAGCCCTCAGCCCAAGTACCACTGTCCCTTGCAATTGTCTGGGAAGTGAGAGAGAGGATGGGCCACCTATTCATGCCTCTTCTCAGCTTCCTGACAGAAGAAGAAAGCTTGTCTCCTGATGCTTCGTTTACAGTGCTTTTGGGAAGGAAAAGGGGGCAGAATATGGATTCTCCCGCCCAACACATACACCTTCAACCCACAGCTTTGCCACTCTTTATAATCCTCTGATCCTGGGGGTGGGGGGGATGGGCTGCCCATTTGCTGCACTTCTCAGCTTCCTGGTAAATAAGGAGAGCTTGTCTTCTGCTACTGGGTGATCAGTGAATTTGTGGGTGGGGGTGCCGGCAGGGGTATTGTGTGAAGCCACCACCTTTCACTCTGTATACACAGCTAGTGAGTCACAAGGAACCCTCAGTCATTGCTTTAATACTACCAGCCCTCAGTGGTGTGGGGTGAAGGGAGCTCAGTTTAGTCTCATCATTTCACCTTCTACCCCCTCTGCCTTCTCATCAAATGGCCTCTGCTCTTTTGGGCTCCCCCAGGTAGGGTATGGGGTCTAGCTGGGGCTCTGCTACCAATGTTGCTGCTAATTAGGAAAGGGGAGCATGGGAGCTCACTGAGTGCACTTCCTCACTGCACGATGACAGTCACACACTCCCACTGTTGGGCTTATGTTGGCAAATGTTGACTTTCTAGTGGTGGTCACTGTACAACTGGTTTTACCTATGCTTAGAAATAAGGAAGAAGTGCGATATCTGATAGCACCTACATAGAAACTTCAATGAATGCTAACTTTTAAAATGATGTCTACTGTAACATATAGTAAGCAACACCTCCTTCAATTAATTTTCCTTTTTGGAGCCAGCTTAGATCACCATCTTTCATTTTACTTTTCATGTACAATCTAAAGTCATGGACTTCCACCATCTTTCTGTAGGCAAAAGATCACAGTATTTTCACATTTCACCCTTTATGTATAGACCTCAAACAACTCCCTGTTCCACTCTAAAATCACAAAAGGCTGTAGAAACTCCCCTACAAAGGACAATTATGAAACATCTCCGTACTTATTAATTACCCTCCTCTTTTGGTCTGAGACTCACCCACATACGCCCAAATATCCACATAGAATTTGACCACTCTACAAACACTGTAGAGTTTTGTAGTATGAAATCACTGAGATTCTCCACAGTCTTACAGCTTGAGTAGTGATTTAGACTTGTACAAAGTGGGACTCAAATATGACCAGTCCAATTTATTAGTATTTTACAGCCACTTTGCACAGATGTGAATGCAAAACAAGATGCAAAGCAATGGGGAATCAAGCCTAAAGGCCTCCGACCCAAGATCACTTCACCTACTGAAACCAACTGGATAAACCTATCAGGGAAGAGCAGTAGTGTCTGATCAATATATGTATTACATGTCTGCTGCTGAATATTTGAAAGCCCACAAATCCATATTAACATTATGGAGCTTGTTCCTATTATGATGGGATTTGAGGCACAGTAAATTAATTCTGTATGTGAAACTGTAAGGTTATTTTATGAATTTGGATTAGAGCTGGGTGAATTTTTTCAGACCAATAGTTTATTCACTGAAAAATGAAGCTGGGGTCAACCTGAAACTATTTGTGAACTTAACATAAATCTACTGAATCGTTTAGGCCAAAATAAACAAATAAGTAAATTAGAGAGGGGAGGAGGAGGGGAAGTTGCCACTGCTTCCCTTTTAACATTTATCGCAATGGCTAGGGCACTCACCTGGGATATGGTAAACCCTTGTTTATTTATTCCCTCCTTCGTTTAATCCCTTTTTCTTCTGTCAAATATTAGACTGAAGGTGGGTTAAATGCTCTTTTAAAACCAGTATGTGTAAACTGTTAGAGATCCGTGACAAATTTTTAATGAATGTTCTTGCACTTTCTAGCTTCGCTACAGCCTGTTTTCTTAAAAACATATGAATCCTATAACATTTGGGGGCGGTCTTGCCATTTCCTTTGTCAAAATGAATCAAGATTTCAATAGATCACCTGACCAGTTTGAATTGTATAACACATTATAGTGTTTTGATCTTTGCATGAGAGATTATTACAAATCAGTGAGGTAAATATAAAGTTGTAAGCAAAATGGCCCTAATAAGCTAACTGACTTTAAATTTTAAAGAGGAAGAAAAAAACATATTTTCACCTGAACCATACATTTCATTGAAATCTTTACATTATAAGCTATGAAACAAGCATGTAGATACTTTGTAGAGATTGACTATTTACATGCTTCTGTAGACTATTATGTAGACCGTTGTGTAAGGCTTAGTAGAGCCAAAAGTAATTATCTCCATAAGGTACAGTGCAGTTTAGAAGACTGAATCACTTGTGCATTTATCCTGTGATGAGATGTAACCTGTCATTACATGGTAATTATCTTGTAATTAAAATGACCAACAAATAGTGTATTATTGAATAGTAGTTATAGGATGAATTCTGCTCTGAAATGTAAAGTAGTAGTCCTGGCACACAGAGCACTAGACTGGGACTCAGAAGTCCTATATCATGTTCTAAGCTGCTACCAGCCTGCTGGGTGACCAATGGCTAGTGCCTCAGTTTCCATATATGTAAAATGGCACTGATACTACCTTCTTTGTAAAGTGTTTGGAGATCTATGGATGAAAAGAGCTGTTTCCTGTTTTTCATTTTTTATAATATGAGCATACAATTGTGTTACTGAATGAGATTTAAAAATTTCCACTGCATCTTGCTGTATTCCAAACCACATAGTTATAATCTTCTGCTAACAGAATACCTGCCTATTGTCAAGTAATCAGTCAGATAATGCAGCCTTAGTCTTAGAAAACTGAACTAACTCTTCTCACATGCTAGATTGACAGACAGTATAGCCAGCCTGCCTTCAGAAGCATTTCAGAGAACTCATTATCCCAACTCCCCTCTCACTTTTCCAATAATGCCACCTCTGCCCCTACCTTCATCTGCCTGTTGAGCCATCAGCAGCATAAAGCAAGCTAGTAAATGTGGTGTGTATGGAGAGAGGGTATTTTATTTGAGTTTTGGGAGCTGGGGGGGAGAGGAGCATTTTTGTTTGGAATGAGAGAGAAGAAAAGGATAACAACTTGGAAGGGAACGAGAAAGAAGGGGGGACCTTTATGTGGGGAGGGAAGAAGAAAGAACTTTGCTTGAGAAAGAGGAGAAGGAGAAGATGGAGAAGAGGATAATGATTGGGAAGTCATTGTGGGGTCCAAACTTGATCTGAAGCTGGAAGAGATGGCCTGCAAACATTGGCTGGGAGAGGGAGCTCTCTTCAGGTTCTCTGTGTGTGATCGAAGGAAAGAACAATGGAATAGGACAAGGAGTCAGGGGTGGGATAGGGATAGGAGTGGGATAGGGATAGATTGGAGGGGACCTTAATTCTGGCATTTCCTAACTCCTGAGTGTGTGACTTTGCCTTGTCAACAATACTATTTGAATGTAGTTTTTTGTGTCTAACAGGGATAAAAAATGAAGTATTTTCTCACCCTCAGAGTGAGATTGTTCCTCAAGGTCAAAGTTGACACACATCAGCAGGGCAGTGTAGGGAAGATTGTATTGCTGTTGCTTGTACTTTACCCAGTCATGCACCTTTCCTAAGTATTAAAATTAGGAGATTTAATTTCAAGATACATATATATAAAAATGTGCTAAATCATTTATAAATAAACCTAATGCCTTTTGAAAGTATGTTTTAGTTTCACAGAACAGCTAAATTATTAGGGGAAGTAGTACTGCTCATTTCCGCATCACTCTAAATACCTTTCACTTTGGCAGTACCAATTTAAGCACACTATCTTTACTTCCTTCTCCTACTGTGCATTACGCTGATAGAAAAGATAAGATAAGCTGACAAACTAGTCATTGGAGATTCACTGGGAACAGGGTGAGTCCTACATGATGAGAGGAGCTATTAATATTTTAAAGTCTTTCTTCCGTACAGGCACCAAAGTATTACATCACAACATATATACTACAAATTGTCAGTGATCAATAGATTTAATGTGCTGGGGTTCCAGGAGGAGGACTTTTCAGCATCTTCTCTACTGAATGACTGGATTTAATTATGGGAACTAAACGAAGTGTTTATAAAACAAAACCTTGAAAACATATTTTAAACATAGAATACTTTATATGGAATCAGGAAAAATCAGGACTCTTTTATCAAATACTACTATCTGTTTTGCTTAGTCCTGTTGATTTGTTTAGCAGAATAAGGCAACTTGTTTTTTGAAACAATGTTGTTTACTTTTTGCGAATGCCGAAATAATGATGTTTAAGTGATAATGTGCCACTTTAAATTATCTGACCTGATTTTAGTTCTGAAAAGTCAAAATGTGAAAAACTGGAACCATTCATTTGATAATTCCTAGCAACTCTTGATAAATAATACATGCTCTTTCTCTTTCACTGAGACTGTCACTGACTGCTCAAAATTACTTTCACCACAGGGCCCAGCCTTCTATCCCAGAGTGCACTTCAGCTCAATTCCAAACCTGAAGGGTCTTTCCAGTATTCAGCGAGCTACCATAGCAACCAGACCCTTGCCCTGGGTGAAACAGCAACATCACAGCTCCCATCCCGCAGCAGTCAAGCCAGAGCTGCCATTCAGAGCTACAGCCAGGTATGTTTGAGGAGCAGTATAGATCTTTTACAACACACACTGTTCAAGGGTGCTCTGAGAAAATAAGTTTATTCTATGCTTAGTGTCTCAACAAATCCTAATGAGCCCTTTTTGTTGCTGTGTACTATTCCCATAGCAGAATGTAGTAAAGTCACATCCTTTATTTTGTAAATTTAAAGCTGCTGGACATAATGCAGTAACAAAATGATGTTGAGTTAAAGAAAACATTGCAAGCCGCTTTTATTTATGTACTTACATGAGGATTTAGGTGACTAATTTTTAGGCATTCCGGTTTGAAAATTTTGGGTGGTGTTAATGTTTGATTTTTCAAATGTGCCATTGTATTATTATTATTTTATGTGTTTTTCCTTCTTTAAATATCACTGAACTAACATAAGGTTCTGGACAAATGGTCAGTAAAATCGTGGTTGTACAGCTAAATTGCAGCCTTGTTGCAGTACCGTTGTTATCTGTCACTTGTGATAGCTGTCAGTGCAAAGCAATCAAAACTGAAATAGGGTGAAGTATAAGTCAAAAGTTAGAAAATGATGCAGAATCTAATACAGAGGTCTAATTTATTGCGTGGTACAGTGGCTTAATTCCATGTGAATTGATCCTCACAGGTGTAGCTGGACCTACTTCCCCGCACACTGCCATTGTTTTATGTATGTGAAGATACACAAATAATTTAGCAGGTAAATGATCAACCTATTTTAAAGGTTTAGAAATTCAGTTCAGGTAGGCATCCAAAAGTTCAGATACTCATCCACACTCTCTGAATATCCCTTCCCATGACAGCTCTCTTGTTTGAGTGATTTTCTGCAACCGGTTCTGCTCTGACACTTATACCATTCCCCCATTTCGTGATCTTCACGGCTCCACCCCCCTTCCTATGTCAGTTTAGCTTCAGTTTACATAAAAAACTTCCAAAAGTTTTACAGCTTTATCTGAACCTCTTCCATCCATACACTGGGGTAGAAATTTCAGAACAACAAGATTTCTTATGAGATTTCCAATTTCATCTGGATCAGAAATGCCACAAAAACAGTTTTTTTTTCTCACATGATATCCATGCTTCTGTACATCTTGGTTTTTGCCAGCAGCAGAGGGCACAAAGATGAGATAAACAACATTTTAAAATGGGGTTTGGTTCAATTTTAGTTTTATTGGACAGTTTAGTTTGGTTCAACCTGCCCTACTTCACAACCGCAGATATCTAGGAAGGAAACAAAAGAGAAACTCCAGGAATGGCACTGAGGCAAGCGACATGCAAATATTTAATATCTACTTAAATAGCTACTACTCAAAGATAATTTGATCCATCTGGAATTCTTGCAAATGGTACAGAAAAACTCGGTCATATAAAGCATCTGCATCCTACACCTTTACTCTTCATTTAGCCTCCTAGACAACAGCTTTCCAAAGCAATTTTTGAAAGGATTAACTTCAGTTATCCATGTTAGTGTGGTGGTAGGGTATTTTTGTATGTCATAGTTCACTTCTTCTTCAGAGTTCTATGTTGAACTTACAAAGCCTTATAAAGCCCAGAGAGAAAGCAGTAGGTGGTAGGTAGATACTGCACAGGTATGTGATACAGACATACATACATTATTCGGTTCTCTCAGTAGTGTGAATAAAAAAAGTCTCACTATTCTCAAATCTGAAAAATGAAATAAAGCACAGTCAGCTAAAAATTGTTACATGTTTAGTATTCTACCCAGGGCTCAAGCTGAATCAATATAGCTTTAGGGAATTAAGGCTGTCTTGACACATAACAGCCTCTCTATAGTTCCCTAGGGGGCATCCCTGCCCTCCTGCTGCATTGGAGCCAGGAGGTGAACAGGGATAGCCCCCCAAAATACCTGAAAGGCAATCAGACCCACATGCAGCCCAGGTGGGTACTTGCAGGAATTTAGGGGATCCCTGAAGGCTGTATCTACCACCTTTCAGGGTGAGTTGATTCCTGAAACATGACTACAGAGGAGAGGACTGGTCCCTAGAACATGGCTTCAGCAATGAGCAAGGGAATGTAGACAGACTTGAGTTGTGAGAGGAGAAATAGGCTTGAATTGGACTGAATTCAATAGTTGGGGGAGAGATTAATGGGGGAGTCATGGGATGACGGTCCCCTGGAAAGGGGATGGTCAGAGGAACTTGAAAGATGTTATCTGGAGCTGAAGAGAAAAAGAAATGAGGGGAGAGATTGAGGAAAAATAAAAAACTGTGTTCCCTCTCCCCTTTACAAGTAGAAGCAGGAAAAAAGAATGTTAGTAAAATAAAGCAGTAATAATAATAACAACCTGATATAGTGTTTCTCCTCAGTGTATCTGCGAGTGCTTCATAATCCTTATTGTATTTGTCCTCATAACACCCCTGTGAGATAGTGAAGAATTATTATCCCCATTTTACAGATGGGAACTGAGGCACAGAGAATCTGTGGGACTTGCCCAAGGTCAGATAAGAAGTCTATGGTAGAGTGGGGAGTTGAGACCAGGTCTCCCATGTCCTAAGGTAGTGTCCTAGCCACTGGACCATCTTTTCCCTCCTAGTAACTGAGACATGAAAGGAAAAGTGTTTTTTTTAAAAAAAAGAGTACTAGGGTTGTTTTTTTAAAGAAATGAATAAAAATGGAGGATGGAGAGAGAGAGAGAGAGAGAGAGATCCCTTTAAGGTTAGAAAACATGGATTGTTTTATTATATTTATAATGATATTATTAGGGCCCTACCAAATTCACAGTCCATTTTGGTCAATTTCACTTTCATAGAATTTTAAAAATAGTGAATTCCATGATTTCAGCTATTTAAATCTGAAATTTCACAGTGTTTTAATTTTGGGATCCTGACCCGAAAAGGAGTTGTGAGGGGGTTGTAGAGTTATTGTGGGGTGGTGGGGGGTTGCGGTACTGCTACCCTTCCTTTCTCACTGCTGCAGGTGGCGTTGCTGCCATCAGAGCTGGGTAGCTGCAGAGCAGTGGCTGCTGGCCAAGAGCCCAGCTCTAAAGGCAGAGCTGCCATCAGCAGCAGTGCAGAAGTAAGGATGCCATGGTACAGTATTGCCATCCTTACTTCTGCACTGCTGCCTGCAGGGCTGGGCCCTCAGTCAGCAGCCATTGCGCTCCGTCCGCCCAGCTCTGAAGGTAGCAGTGCAGAACTAAGGGTGGCATGGTATGGTAATGCTAACCTTCTGCTCTGCTGCTGGAAGGGCGCAGCCTTCAGAGCGGGATGCCTGGCCAACAGCTGCTGCTCTCCAGCAGCTTAGCTCTGAACGCAGTGCAGAAATGAGGGTGGCAATGCCACAATCCCCCCTAAAATAACCTTGTGGCCCCTGCAACTCCCTTTTGGGTCAGGACCCCCAATTTGAGGGACTCTGGTCTCCCCCCATGAAATCGGTATAGTATAGGATAAAAGCACACAAAAGACCAGATTTCACGGGTGGGGGAGACCAGATTTCATAGTCCGTGACGCGTTTTTCATGGCCGTGAATTTGGTAGGGCCCTAGATATTATATTTCTCTGATAGAGGAAAAAAAGGACCAGCTTAAACCCATAGGGAAGAGGCAAAGAAATGTAGTAATATATATTTATATATTTCTTCCCTGTGCACCAACATTGAACAGTTTTGTTCTGAAAAATTACACGTGAATCATTCAACATAACACATGCATCTGAAGAAGTGAGGTTTTTACCCATGAAAGCTTATGCTCAAATAAATCTGTTAGTCTTTAAGGTGGCACCGGACTCCTTGTTGTTTTTGTGGATACAGACTAACACGGCTACCCCCTGATACTTGACACCATGCAAGGCACTAAATTTAGCCATATGGAGAGCACTCCATGCATCTGCAGAAGTGAGATTTTTACCCACGAAAGCTTATGCTCAAATAAATCTGTTCGTCTTTAAGGTGGCACCAGACTCCTTGTTGTTTCAACATAACACAGTTATGCACAACTAGTCAGCCTGCACCAGTTAGATAGGTAATAAGTATAACCTTAGAATCTACTCTAATATATTGCTGAATAAGCAAAAGAGGCCTGGAAAATACAATATATTTTCTCTCCATTCCTCCAGGTGGTGTGTGTGTGAATTTATATATGTAGAAGGATGTATAAGTTATATATGTAAAAGTCAATACATTGACTTTTTCTGGGGAAAAACTTTTGAAGATAATTGTTTAAATATTGAAAAAGATTAGTAATAAATAAATTTACTTATACATTGTTATCTTGCTAAGGGTAACAAAAGCACACAAGTCTATGAACTGCCATACTACATCAGACCAATGGCTTATTTAGCCCAGTATCCTGTCTTCCAACAGTGGCCAGTACCAGAACTTCAGGGGGAGTGTACAGAGCAGAGCAATTTTTGAGAGATCCACCACTATCTTCTCCTCCCAGCTTCTGGCAGTCAGTTGTTTAGGGTCATCCTGGGGATGGGGTTACATCCCTGACCATCTTGGCTAATAGCCATTGATGGACATATCCTCCATGAACTATTCTAGGGTTTTTTAGCCCATTTAAACTTTTCACCATCCCAGCATCCCATGGCAATGAGTTCCACAGGTTAATTTTGCTATGTGTGAAAAAGTATTTTCTCTTGTTTGTGTTAAATCTGCTGCCTATTAATTTAATTGGGTGACTCTTTTTTTTTGTTTTGTGGGAAAGGGTAAATTGTGATTTTATAGATTTCTCTCATTGCCCCCCTTTAGTTTTCGCTTTTGTAAGCTGAACAGCCCTAATCTTTTTAGTTTCTCTGCATATGGAAGTTGTTCCATACCCTTCGTCATCTTTGTTCCACTTTTCTGAACCTTTTTCAGTTCCACTATATCCTTTTTGAGAGAGTGCAACCAGAACTGACTTATTACTGTTTAATTTATCAATTTGTTCATAAAACCTCTTCTATTGACACATCAGTGTGGGACCGAAGTTCAGATGCATCAACTAAAAAGAATAGTTCTGATGTGGGTAGCTCTCCCACATCCACTGAAAACTGATGCAAAGAATT